TCTTTTGTGAGTTGGCACAGCATGGAGGACGGAACAAAACCTCGTCTGAGCCGTATCGCTGATCGTGGGCTGCTTTTAAATGAACGTTTATTTATAAAACAAAATATCTTCTTTGGCCATATTAGCCTACTCAATAGCATTAACACAGGCTTTACGCCTTTCAAACTTTATCTGGAATGTCACCGTTTCTGTCACTGCCTCTTCCCGATCAGGCGAACAAACACACACACACATGCGCGTGAAATCGTCTGCCTCATGAAAAAAATGTAGTTAATATTTGCATCATTTATGATTTATTTTATCCACCCTCGACCCACCCGCAAATAATCAGAATGCATTTTCGGGCTGGCCAAGGTGCGTGCGCCCGATGAAACCGTCTATATAAAGCTTGAAGCATCAGAATCGACATCGGTATTGGCCGATCACCATGACAAGAAATCGGTACTCCGTATCGGCTGCAAAAATCCTGATCGGAGCATCCCTATTAATTTTATATGCGTTCATATATGGTTTCATCAGATGAAAGCAAATATGACTAGTGTGCCATCTATGACATGTGAATCACAAACAAATGACTCTTATGAACAGGTTATTTTTAATGATTCACAAGTCATACTTCCAAGGCACTTTGAATCAGGCTCACTCATTCAGTGAATATTTTAGATCCATTACTGTATCCTTGAAATTAACCATGAATTGTTGTGTGTACTTTAGTTACGTCAGACTTGATATTAGTCATATTAGTTACTTATTGTTCATCTGACAATGTGTAATTATTAGGCATGCACCGAAATGAAAATTCTGGGCCGAAACCGAAAATTCTGGATGCACTTGGCCGAAAACCGAAATCGATACCGAAAATGCTTTGTAATGATTATTGATTATTTTCTTAAATAATATAAAGTAATTTTGTAAGACTTTTTAAATTTAACTCAATTTTAATGATATTGAATTTAAAAAACACAAGCCAATATAATAACCACACTTTTACTGAAAGTAACACAATAAAACTGGACAGGATTTATATTAATATCGGTAACACTTTACAATAAGGTTCATTAGTTAACATTAGTTAACTACTTTAGTTAACATGAACTAAGAATGAACAATAGTTCTTCAGCATTTATTAATCTTAGTTAATGTTAATTTCAACATTTACTAATGCATTATTAAAATCAACAGTTGTGCTTGTTAACAGTTAAAGGGGTCATATGATGCGATTAAAATTTTTCCTTTCTCTTT